GGATGGCGGACAGGGTGTTCGACATCACCAGGTGAGCCCGGCCCTGACCCACACGCCGCCCTGCAGCGGCGGGGGCGTCCCCAGGGGAGGAGCTCGGGCTTGTGAGCGGCCTTCTCCGCACTCCCTAGCGCTTGATGGGTTCGGTTGGAAAAGGCCTTTGGAAGCGCACGGGCAAAGCTTAAGGTAGTCTGAACCTTCAACTAGCTTCAAGTCTTGATTGTGTTTTATGTTGCTGAACTCATCCTTCAGAACCTTTCCTCTTGCTTTGGATGTTGGCTCTGGAAGAGGTTACATAGCTCAACATTTAACCAAGGTACTGGCTCTTCATGCTTAAAAGTGTTTAAAATAAGTACGTATTTATTTGTCTGGTTAAAACAATTCCCTGACTCTTGATGAGGTAGACACCTCCCCCCCAGTATCTGTAGTCAAAGACGCGTGTTGTCCAGCTTGTTACTCTGTTGCTGCTGAAGACTAGACAGACAGGTAGCGCAGGGGAGGTTATCTGTTTTCTGGCAGTTAACCTTTCATGGGCAGATGCATGTTTTTCAGTCAGTCGTTGCTGATTGAAAACTTGTTAGAAGTCTCCGTAATGATATTTCTTTTTTTCCTCTGAAGAAGAGTTCATGTCTTGTGAACCTAGATGTAATAAGGTACTTCATTGGCTGTTAATCAGTGCTTTAAATTTGACTGAACTTAAACCTAAAAATGCAGTGTGTTTTCTGATAGGACTTTTGTCTCAGCTGTTTTCCCTACGAGCAATTCCGAAGTGTTATGTTGGGGGTAAAAATGCTTTCTGCTTTATGTAAAGTTTTATTGAGTGTTAAAGACCTTCCTTCCAACTTAGAAATATGTGTAAGTGTTCCAAAAAATTCCTAATCTCAACTTGTAAAACAGTTTGAATATTTGATAGACTTCTTAAATTTTATTTCAGGAAATCGTTGAAAAACTTATTCAAGTTGATATTGCAGAGAATGCTTTAGTAAGTAGCTTTCTGAATGCTAATGTGCTTTAATTCCGTAATACAAGAAAGCAAAAGAAGTGAGTGTCTGATGTTGTATTTCTTCTAATCCAACATTAGAAAAATTCTGTAGAATCTGAAATCCCTACGGTCAATGTTGTAGCTGATGAGGAATTCCTTCCTTTCAAAGAAGATACATTTGATCTGGTTGTTAGCAGCTTAAGGTATGCATCAATCACTTATTGGCATTTTATTTTTTGGTTAAAAATGTTTAATACTGTGCTTTTCAGAGTAACTTTAAGAAAAAAGAGAAAGGTTGATAGTCCATTAAATGTCAATAAGAAATATACTTGCATAGTTAATATGAGTGTATATCTGGAAAAACATCTATCCTGGTGATTCTTATTGGTTTGTTTGTTTACCTTCAAAACACATGTAGTTTCTTTCTCTCCTGCATTTTGAATAACTAGTCTCCAGGACTTGCATCTCTTCAACTTAAAAAAAAAAAAAAGCTGTTTGTATCAATTGTAGTTTGTATTTATTATTATTTTTCAGCAGGCATTTCAGAACTTTCCCAGCTTGAGAAACGAGTTTGTTGCTTTGGCTTCTGAAACAGATAATGTAACAATTGCCTGAATTCTGTTTAATATGTGATTATAAAATGTGCTCTTCTGTTGTTTCAGTTTGCACTGGGTGAATGACCTTCCTAGAGCTTTTAGAGAGGTAAGAAGTTGTTTTTCAGTGTAAGAATCAACACTTGATGTTACTGGGATTCAGAGCGCTCTGTATTTCCAGGTCATCTTTAAATGAGGGGCATGGAAATAGCTCATATTGCCTGCAACAGTTTTCTTGCAGTATTTTTGGCAGTTTGAGGAGCATCAGTTGATATTTCTACTCATTTACGGACTCAGATCAATTTGGAATAAATAAGTGAAACAACATGTTAGTATAATATTTCATAGTCTCAATAGCTGAGAGAGTGGTAGCTGAGGCAGTGCTATTTTGTCGTGTGTTAGCTCTTACTATTTGTAGTCCCAAAGTTTTCTAAATCTAACTTCTCCAGAACTGGTGTATTGGTTTTGTCTCGGCTGCTTATTTTTAAATACAGCTTTAATGAGGTAAAGGCTCTTTCATTTATTCTTTTTAAATGAAGTAAATAAATACTTGTTGAGGACAGAAAACTGTTACTAAAAAAATTTTATTTTAGATTATTTCGGCTCCTTCCTGCAGGTGAAAACCTTTTCACATTAGATAACTTGGGTGTAATAGCAGGGCATATTTTAACCAGTTTGCTGTTTTTTCAGTTATTTCAAATTGGCTGGTCATTTTGGTGCTATTCTATTGCCCTTTGGTATGAATAGGGCTTTTGTGCTGTTATGGAAATAAAAATAAACAGCAGAATGCCTTCAGCACTTACAAAAACAAAACCAAAAAAAGGCTTGGAAAGAAATGCATCATTTTCTTTGGAATTTAATAGTTTGGTGCAGTGTCAAACATTTTTACCTTCACAGTAAAAATAACTGACACATTCTAATGTCCCACAAATGGGAGGCAATGGGGGTTCTTGGGCAGCTTTCATTATGAATGCTTGTATCCTACTTGCACCATTGACTTTAGAAACTGTTTCCAACTGCTTACACTTTAAAAATGGCCTCTTAATTAGTATAGGAAAGGTAGCTTGATTAAAACTTATTTAAAAAACAGCATAAAAGATTTTTCTTTGAAATCAGTAAGATAAAAACCTTGAAGCTTTTGCTGTCTTGTTACCTCTGATAATGTAATAAGGCTCTTCGGGATATGTAAACCAGGGATCGTTGCCAAATCTTAAGGAAAAAAGAAAACATAAATTTCTTGGCCGTCTCAGTAGGAAGGGTGTTAGGACTTACTAGACAAGAAAGCAGCTTGTCAACCTTAGCATTTGAATCACGATATTGCTCTTCTGATTATGTTTACTCCTACTTATTTTTAACCAGCCAGAATTGCATTACTCAATGATGCGTTCAGAAGTGCAAAGATGACTACTAGAAACTAAGGCTTCCATTTCTCTTAAGCCATTAAAAGGTATTTTTGCTGCTCTGTTCTGAGAAAGTAAAAGTAAGCAGAAGCTATCTTAATCTACCTTATTTTCAGAAATAAATTAATTGCGAATATTGTTTTAGGAGTATCCAATTGCAAGTAGCTTTATCCTACGTTTCCCCAGTGCCCTTTATATTTCCTGACTGCAAGAGTAATTTGTAGGGATTCACTCCTTAAGAACAAACAGTCTCTTTCAGACAGATTATTTATCTTGCGGTGTTACCAAAAGCTTTGGCGCAGCTTGCCTCGTGGAATACAGTAAATATTAAAAATCTATTTTAACTATTACAACGATTGCCTTTAAGTTAATTAAAAAAAAAATAGTCCAAGGAACTTCTTAGTTACATAGGCTTGATAACAAAACCCATTTTTTTTTCTGTGCTGTAGATTCACCAAGTTCTTAAGCCGGATGGAGTGTTCGTTGGTGCAATGCTTGGAGGAGACACTCTGTATGAGCTGCGCTGCTCTCTGCAGCTAGCAGAATTGGAGAGGGAAGGGGGGTTTTCTCCCCATGTATCGCCGTTCACTGCTGTCTCTGATTTGGGTCACCTGCTGTCGAGAGCTGGCTTTAACACCCTGACTGTGGTAATTATAAATAAGAGAACAATCAGATGGAACAATCCAGAATATCAGAGCTGCTGGTATATAAAAAGTACTGTTTACAAATGCGTTAGTAATGTACTGCTTCCTTCTGCATGTTGTGCCCGTTGCTGATTAAGGTTCTGAAATTGCCTGGACAGCCTCTGTTCTTGGCTTCACTGTGATGAATGAAACCAACGGAAGTGTGTCTTTGGCTAGCGGCCCAGTAGAGGTTGGATGGTGGGTCTTGAGGAAATGTCAGAGAATGTTGGACCCACTTGAAAAAACTCCAGTCCATCTCGCTGTTTCTTCTAAAACCAAGATGAAAATAATGTAATTTCAATTAAAATCTGATTGCATTTGGGCTACTAACCAAAACTTTTCAGAAGTGTTAAGGCAGCGTATTCTTTTGAGAAATGCACTGTGTGAACAGAAGTAGCAAATGAGTAGTCTGTTAGCAGCTCTGAAGGCTAGCATAATGCTACTGTTTATTTAGCTTGATATGTACTAAAACTAAGCTTCCCAATTCTTTTAGGATACTGATGAAATTCAAGTTAACTACCCAGGGTTGTTTGAAGTTATGGAGGACTTGCAAGGCAAGTATATACTTTATGGGAACACAAATGTTTTTGATATCCGTGGTGCAGACACAGAAGAGTATCACTGTTTCTTAATTCCAAATCATAGAATGGTTTGTCTTGGAAGGGACCTTTTAAAGGTCATCTAGTCCAACCCCTCTTTGCAATGATCAGGGGCATCTTCAGCTTGATCAGGTTGCTCAGAGCCCCATCCAGCCTGACCTTGAATGTTTCCAGGGATGGGGCATCTGCCACCTCTCTGGGCAACCTGTGCCATTGTTTCACCACCCTTATAAAAAAATTTCTTCCTTTAAAAAAAAAGTAGTAAATAAGTAATAAATAAACATTATTGTCACAGTGGAGACATTACTCTTGTCCTAATTTCTAGTGAGTCAGGAGATTATGCCTGTCAGCAGATTTGTGTTGGAAAGCAGAAGTCACAGATTTTGTATTTTGTGGTCTGCTATGAATTTTCTGCTTCCCTTGTACTCTCTTTTTTTGTGGGCCTGTTCAGTGTAAGCTGCTGAAAAGCCCCAAAAGAGAAGGAAGCATATATTCCACATAATTTTTCCTGTGAGCCTCCCTAATTACCAGGACATTTGGGAAACCTCTTTGGAATGAGAATAAATGGACCCTCAAATTGGAGTCTGCTGGGGAAAACAAAAAACAATCAGGATGCTTAACAACTGAGTTAGTATTCTGATGGCATTTGTCATGGGTTGTAAAGCAGTCACTCATGCACTCGGTTGTTACCAAGCAGTTCAGGGCATCTTCTCGCTCTGCATCAGCTGCTGTTGTTTACAGTAATTCCTTAACGAAAATAAAGGTTTGGTTCTCTGCAGAAACATTCAGATGCAGTAAGTGATTAAAGAGATGGGTTATGGGTATTTTATTTCTTAATAAAAATCTCCTGGGATAGTCACTTTGCTTGTCCAGGAAATAAAAAAAAGTGGTGAGTCTGAATAAACACTTTGTACTCATACTTAAAATAAGTCTAAAAAACCTAAATTTTTGAGGACTTATGCTGAAGAAGTAATAATTGTAAATTAATCCTAGCAATACAAACTGTAAATTACAAAGCTCTGGCATTAAAAAGCTTGGATTCTTATGAGTAAGAAACCTAATTACTTGCAGTATGTAGTTCTCTTACAGTGAGATTCAGAGGATTCTCTACTTTGGTTTAATAAAAATCTGTCATTAGAGCATGACACTTAACTCATGGCATATGCTGTATCTTCTTTTTCTTAAAGCTAAAACATATTTTTAGGTATGGGGGAGAGTAATTGCTCTTGGAACAGAAAACCGCTGCTGCACAGGGAGACAATGCTGGCAGCTGCTGCAATATACCGAGGTAAGTGTTTGAGAGGTAATGAGTTAATCTGAAATGACCTTAAGAACACACTGTCTCTTTTTCTGCCCTCTATGTAAAAATAATTAAAAAAAAATAAAAAACCCACATAATTTTGGAATAGAACAGAATACCATTATCGTACAGGTATTTTCCACCTTAATTATAATGACAGGATTTGAGCTATGTTGATGCACCAGTATGAGGTATTTTTATTGTCCCAAATCTTTCACCAAGCGTCACGATGAGTGTGTCATACTTAGTTCTAATGTTCTGAGAACTAAGTATTTCTTAGAACTGCTGTTCTGTGTATCTTTTTCCCCTCTCCTTTCCTAACAGAAATGTATGGAAATAGCGATGGCTCAGTACCTGCCACGTTTCAGATCTTCTATATGATTGGCTGGAAATTCCATGAATCACAGGTAGTGTGAAGCTGAACTATTTTCTGTTGGAAGGTTCTTCTTAAATTACTGATGCTTTAAAAGCTTTTTACAAAATATTTTAACTTAAAATTACCCCTATATTTTTTTTTTCTTAGGCAAGACCAGCCCAGAGAGGTTCTGCAACAGTTTCATTTGGAGATCTGGCAAAAATAGATGGACTACTTTCAAGAGATAAAAAATAGATCTTCATCAGAAATTATAGTTGTCTTGAAGCTTCTCTAAAGCTTCTCATTGCAGATAGTCTTCACTTGTGCTTATTTTGTGACGACATTCTGAAATTATTACAATATACAGGCAGCAGGGTTGTTTTTGTTTGTTTCTTGCTGCCTGTGCCACAACATCCACTGTGTACAATAATGTTCATTTTTTGTGTCTAGAGAAATATTTGAGCAGTATTCTAAGTTGAATACATGCTGTCCCACTTTTTATTAAATTACTCTTCTGAAATACAATGTCTCTTCTAGTATTTCAGTATCACAGACTGCTCCAGGTATGACTTGCTATTCTTGAGTGTCTTTTTTACCCTGTGTTATTTTTTAATTTTTCCTACAGGATGGTAGACCATAATAAAGAATAGTACTTGGTGGGAAGTGTATTTATAGGACATCCTGTAAGAGAATAGCAAGTACACAGATCTAAATTATTAGGTTTTGTGGGTTGGAAATTATGAAAGTTGCTGTCAGTTATTGTTTGAGATTGGAGTGTTTGAAGTGGTTGAGCGAGCTGTGTGGTATAAAAATATCTCAGGTTGCTACCCTTCACCTACAGCCCTCGTTCAATTACTTCTCCTTTCACCCCCCAAAGCTAGAAATGTTTCTGAACATGAATAGTAGAGCTCAGCCATGAAGAAAGCTGATGCTTCCGTGTAGCTATAACCAAATGCATGTGGCATGATTTGACTTAATTTACTGAAAGGAGTAACAAGGAGAAGAGTCACCTGGCACTCAGATAGGCCTGTACGTTTCCAGTTAATGAATTGGCATTCTCTGGGGTTGCTACTCTCCTGGAGTTCCCTGGTATGTTTTTTTTTAACCTGTTTTTATCTCATTTTTCTCTCATTTGAAAAATTAAAGGTGATGCTTTCAGATAAATACTGGTTTAAAAATACATTTACATGTTACTTGCTGCTTTTCTAATATCAGAGGGAGAAAAGCGTGAAGCATACTTTTCTCTTCTTAGCCGTGACATGGAGCTATGACACTTCTGTATATAATTGCATTACCAGAAACTGATATTAGTTACAAATATGGCTGATTAACCTGAGGGGATTAGAAAAAGCAAACTACTCAGTGATTTCACTTGATTTATAATGCTGGTAGAGAATGGTAGAAAGGAAAAGCATGAAGGATCTGTAACGAGGTATACTGTTCCATCAGCTTTATTGGCGTACCTCTGTGTTGTATGGGTACTGGCGAAGGGAAAGCTGCTCTAGGCTCGTTATAAGGAGGTTATCCAGCAGGTGGAGTGTGACAGAATGGTGTGGCACAGGCCAGATAGGCAAAGGAAGCAGAAGCCTTCCTATTCTGGCAGGGATTATTGAATTATGATTCAAGGACTGATACAGATATTCAAGTTAGCTCCTAGTACTTAACCAATATTCAATTTCCAAATTAAGGGAAATGCTGTTTAAAAAGAAACTATTTATGCAGTGTTCAGCTGGCTAGTAGATCAATTTAAGGACCAAATTTGGGAGTTTGTTATCTGTCAGGCTTTGACTTTGAATGAGAAATGGGCAGAGGAGGTACAAAACAATACGATAAGGAGGGAAGGTATCTTCTGTCCTGCTTTTGCTTTCTAGCCTAATCCATAATTATTAAAGTGGACTGAGCACATCTTCCATTTTCCTTAGAAAAGAACAATAACCCTATTGGAAAAAGGGGGAGAGGCTGTAAGTGGTCTGATAACCTTTCTAGCCCTTAATTTTAAGACTAAATCTAAAAGAAGAGCTTGTTTCTGAAAGCCTCCGTTTTTTTCATAATACATCAATGGACTTAACAGACAATACTGCATCTCTCTGTCTTAGGATTCACCTGTTTCATGGGGTAACTCTCCAGGTCCCCAAATGTACATTTCTATCAAGTTGTGTTTCAAATAACTGTGTAACTTCGTGGTTTTGCTTTAGTAGGTTAGTTTCTAGCCATTTGAGCTGGTGGTTGTGACTCAGATATGTTAAAGGAATGAGGAGGTGGAATGTGCTGGGTAAATGTTAATTAGAAAAGTGCTCCTACTGTGCTTTTTTGAAGCACTTACTCAAGTTACAGAGAAAAGGAAGGATATGCAGTTATTTAATTTCATTTTCCACAGATGGAATATATAAACAGCAAAGTAGCTAAGAAGGTGGCTTGGTAATGGGGGAGTGTAACAGGGAGAAATAGAGGAGTTTTCTTCCTAGCACTTGAGGGGAAGAAAAAAAGTTTAGATAATTCAATTAGCTTGGAAAAGGGCTGGGGAGTAGTAAATATGGCATTGGAGCAGTATTGGTTGGAATTAGGGGGCATGCAACTGACAGATGAGGGGTTCATTTCTCCGGCTGACCACATTTGAATAACTGCATTTTCTGTGTGTTTTTAATGGCAGTTATTTACATAGTATTTCTTCTTGGAAATCGGGGTTACTCTGGCTTCCGTGAGTCACTTTGTATGGCACTTGAAAGAATAGCTTTTAAAAAGTTAGTTTGCTATGAACAGATGTTTTGTCCCATCAGGCTATGTTGTGTTTTATCTTCTTCAGATTTGGGTCTCTCTGGCTTTCTGAAACTGTAATGAAGAATGTGGTTGCCAGTTGCTAGTTGAGAAATTATTTTAAACTCTGGGGTGCACTTAAAAATCAGCTTTTAGAGAGTAAGTAACTTCTAAAAAGTAGTTGCTAAGGTGACATAATGTCTCTTGTAAGTTTGGCTTTTAAAATCTTTATGGATAATACAGCATGTTTTTCTCCTGATTGCATAACAATGAAAAAAGAATTTTGGGAGATAATTATTTTGACGGATGAAACATTAGGAGCCCATAAAAAAAGTTTAGAAGCAGCACATTTATACTTAATGAACAGTAGTATTTTTGAGCCACAGAAAGATTCTGAGGGTCTGAGTCACAGATCAGTGAGCATGCTTGTACAGTGTCTTTGGTTACAGGATCTGTCATGTATAGTTTTATGCAAGTCCACGTAGGATATAGGGATGATAATGAGGCCCTACGTCTTGTAACCCACACGTTAGATTTTTGCCATTTCTGTGCTTTCAACAGACACAGAATTAGTGAAGTTAAAACATGTGAAAGGATTCTTGATTATCTCTAATTTATAAAAATGTCATTAGCAGAAGTTCAGAAGCAAACCATGCCAAATCAAATTTAACTAGAAATAAATATGGATGATAACTTTTTTCTATGTTTTCTTGAAGCAAGCTAAAACTGAACAGTGTCAGTGGCAGTGGGGAGAAACACACTGATCTTTCATATGGTGTTTAGTTTGAATTTCCTGATGCAAAGATCTGATCTAGTGAATTGAATTCATTAGATCTTCTTGTTCAAGAAGCCACATCAACAAAGCTAGCATGTATGCTAAGCCTCTTAAATTTTCACTTGTCTCCCGAAGAACTTAATACTCACTTTTCAAAGACGTGATCTATTTTGGAGCCATTATTTTGGGGGACTACAGTTATTCTAAGAGGTTGATTGGAATCAGCCACAGTACTGAAGCCAATATGTCCTGTATAGCTACTCAATTGATTTCCTCAATGTCTTAAGTGCCCTCAGGTGAAGGAAAAAGAGAATAAAAATACGAAAAAGAAAAACCTGAGACAGTTTTAGCCAAGGCTGCATTATCAGTGTGACGTAAAAAAACTGAAGAGAGTGCATGAGCTTGTTGTAAAGGGGGAAAAAAACTTGTGACTTAAGTTAGAATTAAAGTGGTTTGATTTATTAATAGCTTGTAATGGAGTGGTAGTCCGTGCACTATACATGTGTGATTAATAGCAGCAGTATAACCAATAAATGGCTGTACCAGACCCTTACAAAGACACAGTAAACACCTTCAGATATCTAAACACCCTTCCACAGCAATGCCCCATGAGTTTGCAGCTACATGGTCACATCTATCCCCTTAACAGGCGGTGTGGGTTATAAGAGCCCACTCTTCTCGGAGTACATGTTTATCCTGATTTCAGCTGGGATAGAGTTAATTTTCCTCCCAGTGACTGGTACAGTGCTGCATTTTGGAATTAGCCTGAGAAGGATGTGATGACACGCTGATGGTTTGGTTGTTGCTAAGCAGTGTGTTTACTAAGTCAAGGACTTTTCAGCTTCCCGTGCTCTGCCAGTGAGGAGGTGCACGAGAAGCTGGGAGGGAGAGAGCTGGGACAGCAGACCCAAACTGGCCAAAGGGACATTCCATACCATGTGACATCAAGCTCAGGGTATAAACTAGGGCAGTTGGCCGGGAGCAGCTGGGCGTCGGTTGGTGGGTGGTGAGCAGTTGCATCACTCTTGTCTTCCTGGGGTTTGTTTCTTTTGCTCTTTTTGTTGTTTTCCTATTCATTACAACTTACTATTTTATTTCATTCACTAAACTGTTCTTGTCTCAACCTGTGAGATGTTTGACGTTTGCCCTTCTGATTCTCTCCCTGCCACTGTGGGGGCGAAGGTGAGCAAGCAGCTGCGTGGTGCTGCTACTGGCAAGTTTAAACCAGGATGGTGGTACCCTACTTACACCCACATGTGACGATGTGGATGCTGTAGGTGCGTGATCCCTCTGCTGTTCCCCACGCTCCCCTAATCCACCCCTCTGTTGGGGTTACACCGCACGGGGTGGTGTGCTGACAGCCCAGGAGCGGTCACTGCTTCTTGTCCCTGAACTGTCAGCCCACCAGCAGGCCCACAGGCTACTCCTGGCTGCTGGGGAGGGTGCCCCCTCAGGACTTAAAGCTAGAGATGCCAGAAGGGCGTCTTCACAGAGTCAGGCCACGTTTTGCCTGCTTCTCTCTTCTCACTGCTAGGAATTTCGGTGCTTTTTATACTTGATCTTAAGTGAACTCCTTTTTCTCTCCTTTCCTCCATCCCCCTCCCTCCCCAGGGTCTCTGTAAACTACCTGATTACTGTTGAATGTGGCTGATGGTTGGCTTCATTTTCAGCCTTACCAGATTTTGAGCAGTTTTGGATTTTCTGTTCACGCATATTGCACTCGTAT